GGTAGACTTACTCCTAGAGTAAAAGGATCTCTCTTCATATATATATATATGAAAATACAATTGTGTTCTAAACTGTGAGTATATATTAAAAATAAAAAAAAGTTATAGCAGTTTCCAAACTCGCAGAAACAATTTCTCTTGGAGGGAGAATTTTGCCATCTATAATAGTTTTACTTGATTTAGACATGATTACTTGTGAAACATATTATATAAACAAAAAAGTTACAAATACATTTGCATAAAAAATAAAGATAATTGGGTTTGTGGTTATTTCAAAAGTAAGATGGCATGGAGGGTAAAATATATGTGAGGTAAAAAAAATTAAATTAATAAAAAAATGAGAGTGAGAGACAGAGTGGGTTAGAAATCAATTCGTAAAAATAAAGACTCTATAAATAATTAAATATTTTAAGAAAAGTTAGAATCACAAAAAAAAAAGTTGGATTTGTCAAAAATTCATACAAATCCACAAATTTTTTTAAATTTTGATTGATTCAAAAATATGTCACAAAATTAAAAACGACCATTATTTTAAAAAATATAAATCAATCAAAATATAAATATAAAAGATAAAGAATCAAAATAAATATTTTAATAAATAAATAATTAAAATAAATTTAAAATAACAAGATAAAGGACTAAAAACATAATTTAATTATATATTAAATATAAATTTTTATTTTATGAGAATATTTTTAAGAACTTTTTTTCAAAAAGATGATTTTTAGAAATTTTTTAACTTCTTATCTAATTCACCTTTTATTTATCACAATTATTTATATATTAAATATCAATATTTTAAAATAAGTTATCAATATAAAAAGTTTGCTACAATATAAATTATTTATTATTAAAATATAATTTATATGTTTTAAAACATTTATTTATACAATTTTAAACGTAATTTATATATTCAAATATAGTATTTATTTATATATAATTTATTATACAATTTAATTATATAGTAAACAACATATTTGTGTATTATATAGGCAAAAATACTAGGTTTTTTTTTTTTATAATTGGGATTGTCATTAATTAAAGGAAAAAAATAATTAGTCCTCCTAAACTTGACCTCTCTTATAAATAAAATCACAAGTTTCAATTTTATTTTAGTTGATCTTTAAACTTTGTCCTATTAACAAATAAACACCATGAAACATGAACTTTAATTTTGTTATAGTTGATCCTTAAATTTTACTATTTTTATAAATAAATATTTTAATTTTGATTTTATCTTAATTAATTATTTTCTTTTTTGTAAATAGTCTCTTATATTATATTGAAATTAAATTACTAAGATGGAAGAAATATCAATCATTTATTAATTTTAAAATCACACTTATTCATTATCTTCTCTATATATATATACATATCAATTTTATTTTCTTATATATTAAAATATCATATAATTTAAAATTTAAAAATAAAATAAATATTTTTCATATTACTTTTATGATTCTTTTCTTTTTCTTTCTAAACTCGAATTTTTATTATATTTGAAAAATAATTATAACAAGAAGAAAAAATATTAGTAAATGATTGATTTTTTTCTTGAGTTTTTCGATTTCAGATTGGTATCTTAAGGTAAAGATCGAACTTGATACTTTTTGAATAATTTGATATTGGATTCAACATATTAATCACTTGTGTTTAGCTTTTTGATTTAAATCATTGATATTTAGGATAAATAATTTAACTCAAATTTAAAAAAAATATTTTTAAAAATAATAAATTGTCAAATGTTAATATCAATTAAAATGAAATTAATGTTAAAAATGCTATTTCTTTTTAAAAAAAAAAGTAAAGTTTAAGGACTAATTGAAAAAAAAATTAAAGTTTAAAATTTCTATTTTTAAAAATAGGATAAAGTTCAAGGATTTATTAGGATAAAATTAAAATTTATATTACATATTTGTAAAAAGAATATAGTTTATGGTGACTGAAATTTTTTTTTTCCCTTTTTGTTAAATAGATAAAGTAATTAGAAGAGATCTTATGTTCTAACTTTTTATTATATATATAAATTATGACATTCCTTAATTAGAAGTTTAGGACTAATTTCTCGAAATAATGAAATTTATTTTGAGGATTAACTTTTTATAATAAATATTTTTTTCCTAATCACATACTCAAAGATAAGGGACACGATTATTTACTAACCATGTTATATTTTGTTAGTTCAAGGTTATAACTTTAGTGTAACAATTGTACACCAAAAAAAAGATCAAAAAATTGTACACCCAAAAAAGGTATAACTTTAGTGTTAACAATTCCTTAACAGAATCCTTGTGAGAGCCAATTAAGCTGAAGCTTATACTGATGGAACATTCCAGATTCTTGAATGTTATGACCATTCCAAAGGATTTCACCAGCGGAAGGACGGGAAAACCCAGCTAAGAGCATCTACAATGGGAGTTGCTATAAGCAACTCCCAACCACTTTAAATGGGTCTCACTGTGTCACGTCACTCATAAGCAACTCATACTACATTTTTACAATTATCATTGGTTGAATGTGGTGGTGGTGGTGGGTATGTAAAAAATTGAGGATTTTGAGAATTTTCATCAGAAGGGATTGGAGGTGGTGGTTGGTTTTGTAAAAAATTAAAATAACTTTGAAAATTAAATTGATTGGGATCCATGTGGTAGAATATAAAAAAAATTACAAATGAACAAAAAATAATAATTTTTTTTGGATGCCAATAGTAAACGTGAATAATAAACGTGAATAGTAATTTTTTGAAATAAATTGTAAACTTGGATAATGAAATGCAAATTAACCGAACAATAACTGCAAATGAACTACACAATGTGAAAAATAGAGTGCAAATGAACTACTGAATGTGAAAAATAGAGTGGAAATGAATTGAAAATTGGACATCAATTTATACATAAATGTGCAACAGCTCTTTAACATCTCTCCAACGGCTCTTTCAACGTCTCTCCAACGTCTCATTTTTCTTATTTTCGTTTATGAACGTCTCTCCCTCCCTCACTCTCTCGTCACTCACTCTCCCTCCCTCACTCTCTCATGAACGTCTCTCCCTCCCTCACTCTCTTCACTCACTCTCCCTCCCTCACTCTCTCGTCACTCACTCTCCCTCCCTCACTCTCCCGTCACTCACTCTCTACACTCTCCCGTCACTCACTCTCCCTTCACTCTTTCTTCACGGGTCGCGCATGGGGGACGGTGGCTGCTAGCGGTCGCGCATGGGGGGCGGTGGCTGCTGGCGGTCGCGCACGGGGG